CGAATTGCTCGCTGTTCTGATTCAGATATGAATTTTTCCTCCTCTTTTTTTTTTTTTCCCTTTTCTTTTCTCATCGCTTTTAATCTACATTTATAATTAATGAAATCGGAATCAGAGAAAATGGTGGTACTCGATTCGTGACGAAATTAAACAATTTGCATCGAAGAACGAGATATTTTGATTCAAGCTTCTTGTCTCTTGTAATCTTTATACAAAAAAAGTTTTCTCGCGAGAAAACACGTCGGATGTTGGGGAAAGTTTTGCCATTTATCAAGATATATATATACATATTACATCAGTAAATGTGAAAATATAGAAATTTCTTTTTAAAGAGAATTTTTTAAGAAAAAATAAAATAAATAAATAATTTTTATTTATAAAAAAATTATGATAAAATAAAAAAGATAATAATTTATATTTAAAATTATTATAATTTTACGCGTATGAATGTCGAAAGATCTTTTTCAAAACAAAACTTTCCCAATATCCTAAGTATAGATATATAGCTCTAATAAACGATTGAAAAATATTTACAATATAAGGTTTGAACGTGAAACGATACGTGTCTATTCCAATACATTTTCAATTTTTCATAATTTATTCGCAAAAATTATATCATATTGCCGCTTTTAACAAAACATTTTCAACGTTCATGGTGAACGGATGCCTCGATGATTTCTAACAATTAAATTATTTTCACTGGTCGATGATAAGGTATTACACCGATACTTTATGCCTATTATTATATAATTATATAATTACGAATCGAAACGAAAACAATTCGTTACATAATAAATCATGCTAACGACATATTAAAAAATTTCGATACCTAGTAGTTTCATTACAAAGAAATTTCTCCTATGGTGTCGTTATGAATCACCATGGAGAACTAGATTTCATTTTGATCCATTGCTAAATGATCTTCATCGTAACTCGCGATATACAAGATAAAAATGAGGCTTCTTTCGAGACAAAACTGCACACATTCTGAAAAATAAATTTTATTTCTTATACTACAGACCAAAAAAAAATTGATTTGTCAAGAATATGTCTTTTAAAATTATCGGCCAAAAATTTGGGATCATTTCTTTTTTCTTTTTCATATTGGATATTTTTCAAATTTTCTCATTCAAAATTAATGTTTTATATATATATATATATGAATATTTCATTTCATTGGATTTTTCACAATTTTTCAAGATCAATTAACTTAAAATAAAGTTAAAAATTTATCTTTCTATCTCAAAAAATCCTCGAATTCAGTTTGATCAGATTTATTACAATATTTGCAAAAAAAAATTACTATTATATATATAATTAATTTTTGATAAAATTGTTCCTTTTAAAATAAGTTTGACCGATGAACTTTTTTGATATCTAGCACGAGAAAAAAAAAATTCAAATAGATTAAGAAGATAAACGAGATCATTAAGAGATAATTATTGTTTACAGTTTAAACATTACGTAACTATCATTTGTTTGATTATGTGGATTTTCTGAACAATTTGATTAGTTCTCCTCTTGCAACGTCGATGATACGCAAGTTTACGACGAAGTTGTTCTTCTTGTGTGTCTGTTGGAGGCAAGAGTGTATCTTTTCATCACACCTTAGGCGTGTACGAGTCTTAAAATCTTGAACTTAATATATCTGTTATAAATACATTAAAAAAGATTAATTTAAAAAGCGACGAAAAAATATTAAAAATTTATATCCATCGATCGAGCAAACGATAGAAAATAATCTTTTTTATATTTGTACAATTTATATTCTACTTTTTTTAGTTTTCTATTTAGCATTTCGAATATATGTGAAAATTGAGAATTTTTCTTCGCTATGTTCTTTTTTAAGAAAAAGATAAATTAAATTTGATTCTAGATCTTTATAAAATATATAAAATTTTCTAACCTTATTTAAATGTATCAAAGATATTAGATTTCTAGAATTCGTTGTTGAAAAATTGTTGTAATTATACAATAAATTATTTATTCGAAACGAAAATAAATTTTTTGATTTTTTAACAATCTCAGTTGCTTAGATTTGCGATGGAATAATTTAAATGTTCGTAAATGAATCATTTAAAACTCAAATTTCACTTTTTATTATTTTATATATTTAATAATTTTATATTTTATTTCCAAATATGCATAGATAATCTTTAATTTTTCAAATAATTAATCTCTGTACAATTTTCACAAGAATACTAAGCACCAAAGATTTAAAATATTACGATATCTAAATCTTGATGTAAAAAAAAGAAATGCTAGATAGAAGATTTTAAATAACGATTATTATAGCATTAATCGTACACGCCTATTAATTTACAAAAGTTCTCAATCTCGCGCGAAAAAAACGTTCTTAGCGAGCAAAACTTATTCTTTTTTTTCCATACGATAAATTTTGCGTCATTTGTGACGTTTATTTTACAAGTTCCACTAACATCCTCATTATTCTCCATTCTTCTTTTTTGCACGTTCTTCGAACGATTTTTACGAGACCGCCTTGGATCGATAATCGAAGGCAATCGATAATTGTCGAGAACAAAAGTATCGAATCGATTCCATCGAACGAATTGCAATGGCTGTTCTTTTCATCGATTTCGAACGTCTTCTCCTTGCGTTCCCTCGTATCTAATCTCGTTTGTTAAGACTAATATAAGTCAAAGCTCGAGCCTACGGAGAGGATGTCGACACCGATGACCACCACGGTCACTGCAGCCTCGGTGACCAGTATTGGGCCGCCATGTCTGGTGCTGGTTGGCCTGGTACTGCGATTGGTACGCTGACACCTGGCGATATCAAACCTGGAAATCAATTTCAAGTTTATTCCATTTATCCTCTCTTGGCGTATCGTGAAAACGAAAGGTAAGAGGTATTCGCAAAAAAGTAAGTAAGTAAATAAGTAAGTGTAAAAATTTGGTAAATAAGATTTGAAATTTATCCAATCGTCTCCTTTCAGTATCGTAAGGGAAAAAGTAAGGTTATAATGAAATATCTGGAAGATGAATTTCGATATTTATTCGATCGATATCCTCTTTTGAATATTATAAGAAGACAGTGAAATATGGTAAGAAGAATATTTTAATTTTATTATTGTTATTTGGATAGTTGTTTGAATATATAAGTATAAATTGTTTCTAAATCAATAATTATTACGTAACGTGTAAGTGACTATATTTTCATTATTAACTTACGACCTTTTGTGACCTAAAATGACCTTTTACCATATCTTTTTAAACTTTTATCTCATACTCTATACTGAGAATAGAAATATATGTCATATTATCTAAAAAAAAAAAAAAGACGGTCACCTTGAAGTTTGCAGATCTTTACGATAGAACTACTTTTATCACGTTATATCACGAACTATATTATTTTCACTATATATTTTATGATTAAAAAAAGAAAAAAAAGAAATTGGAAAAAAGTTATACCGAATACATAAAAAGTTCAATGCATATTCCATAGCAATAAAAATGCACGTATAATCGGTAAGAAAAATCTTTACACGTGACTTCAACTAACAAGTTGTATTTTTAAATATAATAAGTACGACATGGAACAAAATTTCAAATTACAAATTCAAATATATATTCCATTATTAATTAAAAAAAAGTATTTCTTACAAGTAATTGTATTCAAAAAAAGATCATTAAAAAGACCTAGGATTGATTTTATTCACGAGTATTTTCAACATAAAAAGCATCGTGCTCTAACGCACAAACTTTTATTAAAATCGGAATTTTTGATTAAATGAATATCGATTTACTTGTACACTGATCGAGTACAACCTACTACAAGCGATTCAATTCTTCTTAAATTACAGGACCAACCAATAAAAAAAAACCTTGTTAAAGCAAGCCATAAAAAAAGCATACAAAAAAAAAAATACCCATCATCGATTTAAAAAAAAAAAAAAAGAAACCACTCGCTAAATTCCATTGAAAGCAGAGAAGAACAGTGTGAACGACCGTGTGAACGAAGAAGAAAGAGGGCCTTGGGTAGACGCAGAAGCGATAATATAATCCATTACCGGGAAGCTGGATAGCGTGTTATCCGTGGTAGTCCGTCGGCTAAAGTGCAAGCAGCGAGTGCAGTGAGTGCGGTAGACACTCACCGGTCGAGCTGGTGTTCTGATTATACTGGTTCAGGCCCGCGGTGTGGTATGGCTGAGTGGGGCTGCACGTGGGCCGTGCCCCGTATCCGAGGTGAAGAGGCTCGTAACTCGGTGGACGGGCGACGCCGCACGAATAACCGTTGTCGCGTTGCTGGAGACACGCGCCCGGGCTAGGGCCCACCGTCATGCCCACGGTCATACCCATCGGGCCCATCCCACCGCCCGTCGACAACGATGACATGCTGCTCGTCGTGTGCTGGTTCTGCTGGCCACCGCCGGACATCGTGAAACTCGGCATGGACGTCATGGGACTGGAACGGATCGTTCGAAATGTATCAATCTTTATCCATAACGAGAATGATGATTATTCGAGAATTATGAATCTTCGAAAGATTTGAAAGTGATTCGAAAGTGAGGTTTTGATATAATAAATCTTTATTGTTAGTTTTCTTTCTTTATATTTTTAAAAAAATTATATATTCCAAGAATCGACTTGAAATTTAAGAAGAATCATAAATTCAAAATGTTGACAACGGAGGTTAAAATTATTGTATCATATCATTTCAGATGTAATGTAAAAATATATATATCCCAAGAATCGACTTGAAATTTAAGAAGAGTCCAAAATGTTGACAACAGAATGTTA